CTGCATCTCTGGGGACACTCCCAAGTTGTACTCTTTTTTTTTTTTTTTTTTTGAGACAGTTTCACTCTTGTTGCCCAGGCTGGAGGGCAATGCCATGATCTCGGCTCACTGCAACCTCCGCCTCACAGGTTCAAGCAATTCTCCTGCCTCAGCCTCCCGAGTACCTGGAATTACAGGCATGCACCACCAAGCCCAGCTAATTATTTTGTATTTTTAGTAGAGACGTGGTTTCTCCATGTTGGTCTAACTGGTCTCAAACTCCCGACCTCAGGTGATCTGGCCGCCTTGGCCTCCCAAAGTGCTGGGATTACAGGCATGAGCCACCACGCCCGGCCCCATGTTGTACTCTTAATGCTCTCTAAGTGTTTGTACCCTAAGGTGAACATGCTGAGTGTTCATCTCTGACTGACCAGAGTCAGAACCTTCTTGTCTAGAAGGTTCTCCTAGTCTCCTTCCTGCAGGAGGTGTTGGGAGTCAAGTGAGGAACAAGCCTGGGGCCTGGGTGTCTGAACCACCTGCATAAAACCTTGTCGTGGAGCTTATAGGGGCTGAGGCATGTATCGGATTGCTTCTCTGCTTTCCCTGTTTAGGTTCACCTGCTTATACAATTTTATTGCTGTTCTCTCTTCTTTCATTATATCCTTGAGGGTTTATGCTTTTTAAAAAACAAGCAAACAAACAAAACGCCTTTTTGTTGTTTTAGTGATATTTCGGGAATAAGGGTGACTCAATGGATGTGTTAAGTCTGCCACTTCTAACCAGAAATCTGTACACAATTTCCTATGAGAGTCCTCCTTCATCCCAGCCTTTGTCCAGACACACTGCCCTTGTTCTCTGGAGAAGCAGCTTCCTTCTGTCCTCGTATGCTTGCATCGTTCCTTCTTGCCTCCCTCTCTGCCGGAAATGCTCTTCCCTCTGCATTCTGATGGCTTAATTCCTCTCAGCCTTTGGTGTTCAGTACCAGATCTGTCCCCTTATTGTAGCTTTCCCTGTAGCCCCTGGAGCTGTGCTTGGGTCACACTGTAGTGTGGTCTGATTATGTGATTGATGTCAGTCTTCCCAACTAAACCATAGGTTCATGAGGCCACAAACCTGGCTGATTGTGTGTGCCATTGTATCCATCTCCTCTACCCAATGCATATTTTTGAATAAATAAATGAATGAATAGGCAGGTGGGGGCTTGAAGGCCTCCTGATTTTGGCAGTAGCATAATGTAATGTGAACTGGCTTCACAGGCCGGTGAAGTTGGCACATCCCGAAACTCTCTCAGCAACGCAAGAACAATTCACAGCTACCTTGATCGACAAAAACCGAAAGCAAATGAAACCAGGCTTTTACTGAAAATATCTGCAAGACCAGAAATACATGGGTAATTAACACCTTCCCCTTATACTCCTATTTAATATTTAATTTCTACTATTAGCATCCTAGAAGAAGCAGAAGCTAGGTCACCTGCACTGGGTCCATTCTTTTACTTCTTATCAAAAACCTGGCCATCTGACGCGTTAGGATCTCAGTAGAAAACGAAACAAAATCCACAGGGCGTTGGTGAGTTGATTTTTGTGGCAAACTTTAGGAACTTTCAGTAAAAGCCATAAAACAAATGAAGCAGAAGATATCATGGATGGAAAAAATGCCCCCTCTTGTCCTGATGCATTTCTAGATGGTTGAACATTATTCCCTGAGTTGAATTCCCTTGAATAAGGGAATTCTGTCTAGGAAATGGGAGATGCAAGGTAAATCCCCATTCATGGACACGGACTGTGAAGGATTCCTCAGTCTGTTCTCATGTCAGGTGAGCACAGCCCCAAGGCAGGGTCTCTCCTGCCAGTCCTCCTCTGGGTTCCTGCCCCTGCCTAAGCCCCGCCCCCAGACATTCTGAGTCTGGCCCAGGCCCTGACAAAGGCTTCCTATTATTCTACCTAGCAACTGCGGGCCGTCAGGACAAGAATCCAGAAACCTGACATTTTACATCAATAGGACATAAGGAGCATGTGTTGGTTATCTATTGCTGCATGACAAATTGCCGTCTAACTTTGTGTTTGAAAACAACACACTTGCATCTCGTGGTTTCTGTGAATCAGAAACCTTGGCACAGCTGTACTGGCTCCTCGACGTCATGGTCACTCGCGACATCATGGTCACTCGACGTCATGGTCATCATCATCAGCCAGGTGTTTCACAGCTCACAGTGGACTGGGGAAGAGCCTGCTTCCCAGCTCGTGTGGTTGTTGGTGTGATTGTTGGTGTCATACCTGCGTTTTGCCTGTCCCTATGTGGTGCCTGTGGCTTGTGCACTCCCTGGCCTACCTCTGAAGTCTTGGCCTGGGAATGTTTTGCAGCACGTGCCCATGGCTGCTGTCTGAAGGCCACCATCAGCTCCTATCTGGCCTCTGCAACACAGCCGTGTGCTCCATCAAGGCGTGTGAGCTGAAGAGACAAGAGTCTGGCAGCAGATCAATGTCAAGGGTGCTACCCTGTGAGGTGATCTAATCCCATCATCTTCACCACATCCTATTGGCCAGCAGCAGTCACTAGGTTCAGTTCACACTCAAATGGCGGGGCAGGAATACCACCTTTCTGCATCCTCCTGGAGGTGGAGTCAACTAGGGAGTGTCAGGTCACCCATGGCAGCCAACCTGGGCATCAAGAGGCCACTCATACGGTCTTGGTTTCCTGGAACTGCCCTAACAAAGTCCCACAAACTAGGTGATTCAAACAACAGAAATTTTTCATCTCACAGTTCTGGAGGTCAGAAGGCCAACATCGGACAGAGTTTGTTCTTCCTAAGGGCTGCGTGGGAGAATCTGGTATCCGTGGGCCTTTCTCTGTCTTGTACGTCTTCACATCCTCTTCCCTCTATTTCTGTCTCTGTGTCCAAATTTTCCCTGTTTTTAAGGCCAACAGTCATATTGGATTAGGGCACACCCCAATGACCTAATGACCATCTGAACTTGTTCTTCTGCAAAGAGCCTATTTTCAAATAAGTTCACATTCACACACTCTGAGGGTGGGACCTCGAAATCTTTTAGGGGGACAAGATTCAACCTGTAGAAAGTGCTAACACAGTTCTGTTTTTTTTTTTTTTTTTTTCCTCCCTGACATAAACCATCCCTACCTAGGGTTTCAGCTTTTTCAAGTTAAGCCACTGCTTTGAAGGTTCTTTGTTTTTCTTGTTGTTTTTTGTTTTTTGTTTTTTCAAAATATTTAACATTTTTAAAAATTAGGGTGAGCTTCACATGACAAAGTCAGCCATTGAAAAGTGAGCAATTCCGTGACGTTTAGCACAGTTGCAGTGTTGTACAACCACCACCTCTGTCTAATTCCAAAACATTTCCATCACCCTGAAAGGAAACTCTGTCCCATTAGGCAGTTGCTCCCCATCCCCCCGCCCCAGCACCTGGCAACCACCTAGGCCATTGCTATTGAGGGGTTGTTTAAAGTCCACTGAGCTGATGTAGCCCTCACTCTGCACCCCATCCACATGGACCCAGACAAAGCTGTTACCTTCTTTTCAGAGGCGAGGAGACTGAGTTAAAGGGACATTAAGTCATTTGTCTCTGCCAGGTGGAGGTGCCATCAGAACCCAGCCATCTGGCTTCCCAGTCCACACCCCTCACTCCGCCTCTACAGCCTGTTCCACCCAGCCTTGAGTGAGCCGTAGAGCAGTGGCTTCCGCTGAGACCAGCGATCCCTCCTCCTGCAAGTGAAGGACAACGTCCTTGCTGTCTCTCTGTCCTGGTCGTCATGCCCACCTCCTCTGTCCTCCTCGGCCTGCTGTGAGGATTTCCTCCAGGCTGCTGGGAGGGAGAGCGCTTGTAGGAACTCCCTTTGTCCATCCCATCAAGGGCATCTGCAGGTGCTGCCTGTCCTCACGGTCGCTTCTCACTGCATCTCCCCTCCGCCCCTGCCTGTCTGGGTGTCTCCCGCTGTTCCCTGTGCCCTGCACCTCACCACGGGGTGCCTGTGTCTACCACTGCACTGATACTCTAGAATTTTCCACAGCCTTTGCTAAAATAACATGTGCTAACACTCCAGGCTGGAAAAACCGTACTAGAAATTACCGTGGGGGGAGCAAATTGAAAGCCCCATATTCAGGTCTGCAAGAAAAATCACTTTTATTTCCTAAAAGTAATGGCACTGAAGCCAGGCAAAGAGGGAAGGGGCAGTACCAGGGCAGGGTGAGGTTGGAGCAGTCATCAGCTCATCCTTGTCCCAAGCCCATGGTCTCTTCCCTGCCAGACTCTGGCTGGGCACCCTCAATCCTGGGGTTTCCTAATCACATGCTCTCTGAAATCAGCCACATCGAGGTCACTGACAAGGAGCCCAGTCAAGACCTCATGGCTGGCAGAGCCCAGAAAACTCGTTCCCTCCTCCCCAGTGAAACTCGTTCCCTCCTCCCCAGTCTATTGGGATTGCCTTTGGTCTGACCAGTTCTCTCTCCTTCTTTCCCCAGAGGCACACAGTGTCATTTCATGCCCTTCAACGCCTACATCCAATTTCCATAACCAATTGTGTGTTTGGAAACCTGCATTAGGAATCCCCCCTCTGAACCTTCTAGAAGGCCTGAACATTCCACACTGGTGGCTCTCGGCTTGAACAGGCAGAAGGATTAAGGAAATACAGGGGAGGAAAAACAGCAATTCAAATCTCAAATGTTATTCTGCCACACTGGAGAATGATTTTATGGGCTGCGTATGGTGGCTCATGCCTGTAATCCCAACACTTTGGGAGGCCCGGGCAGGCAGTCTCATTCGAGACCAGTGGGGGCAACATGGCAAACCCCAGCTCTACAAAAAATACAAAAATTAGCTGGGTGTGATGGTGCACACCTGTAGTCCCAGCTACTTGAGAGGCTGAGATGGGAGGATCGCTTGAGCCCAGGAGATCGAGGCTGCAGTAAACTGTGATCACGCCACTGCACTCCAGCCTGGGTGACAGAGCCAGACCCTGTCTCAAAAAAAAAAAAAAAAAAGATCATATGGAATTTTCAGGAATCTTCTCAATGTAGGCTCCAGAGAGAAGGTTTTAGACAGGACACACTGCTCTGACTTAAACTCCACTTCCTAAAGCATTGACGTTGTGCTTTGGAAATGACAAAAGAAACTTAGAGACAGCACACTTCCTTGGAGCTCAGTGCACCCCTCCATAAATAAAAGCAATGGTGATGAGAAGGAAATGAAATAAAAAATTGAGAGCTGAAAGGCACCTTGGAGATCACCTAGCCCGAAATTCTTGTCACGGATGAAGTCAAGGTCCTGAAAAATGAGACGATTTGTCCAAGCTGCCAGCTAGTTGGAGCTGTGCAGACCCCACGCCTGCCCACTGGGCCTTTAAAACCCAGGCCTCAGGGAGAAGCTCCCTCAGGTCCCCAGATATGCTGTCTGCACACCCACTGGGGAGAAGGAGGCAGCAAAGAAATGATGCTGTCCACAGAACAAACAGCAGCATCTCCTGCTGCCTGACAGCATCCGTTACAGAAGGATATTTCCAGCCGTGTATACGAGCATTTCACAACACGGACTGCTTTTCAAAAGCAAATTTTACAAAATGCCAGTCCGTGAGAAGTTAATACTGGGTTTTCAGAAAAAGAGGAAACCAGAATAGCTGAATATTTCTGCTCTCTTAAAAACCACAGAACCCACAGTAGCAACAAATGTGACAGAAAAAGGCTCTCTGCCAAACAGGGTGGAGGGGGAGACCCTTCCCTTTATAACCAAGACAGAGACCAATCCTCACCAGAAGTGAAAGATACCTCTCCCAAGAACGGGCTGTTCCCACGGTCACAGAACACACTCATTTTCCACAAGACAAATGGGGTGACCATCAGCCTTCGGTTTATGTAATAATGCAGCTCAGTGTTGATGAGGCTTTGCAACAAAGGGTAATTTAAAATGAGAGTACGGTTAAGTATGATGTCATCCCAAGAACTACTCGCTTAGCTGTGACAATAGACAAGTGACAACAAGAAATGGCATCTATTTACTAAAAGCTAAGCGGAGAGTTTGTTTTGTCTTGTTTATCAAGCTTTAGATTAAATCCAGCCTTGTAAGAGATGGAAAATATCTCAGGAGCCACAGACTTACTTCAACCTCCTACTGGGATGGTTTTGGTTGCAGCTGAGTTGTCCCAGCCAGCGTCTCAGCTGTGGTTTCAGTGGCTGGAAGAGAGAAATCCCACATGATGGCCCTCGTGGCTGAGAAGCACCAACGTCTTCCAGTCCTACAGATGATGAGCTCAATTTATGAGCTGATTATGATGGCCAAAGGAGATCCAATGGATATTTTGGGAAACGGCTCATAAAACGCATTCGGATAAACTAGAAATAAACTCAAAGGTTCCAGGAATCACATTTTTGGAAGCACTAGCAGGAGGAGGGGAAGCTGAGCTGACATTTTGCACAGGCACTTCTAATTATATCTCACATTGTGTTTTTCTCTGCACCTCTTTTTTCATACCAACAGTAAGTATAATTGCTGAACTGCTCTCAGATAGAATACTGCCTTTTTTTTTTTTTTTTTTTTTTGAGATAAGGTTTTGCTCTGTTGCTCAGGCTGGAGTGCAGTGGTGCAATCATGGGTTCAGTGTAACTTTGAACTCCTGGGCTCAAGCGGTCCTCCTGCCTCAGCCTCCCGAAGCTCAGGGATTACAGGCATGAACCACCTTGCTGGCCAATGCAGCTTTTTTTTTTTTTTTTTTTTAATCACAAAGGGACTCCAAGAGCATTTTATTCAGGTTGGACTATAAACTAACCTTGAAGAGCAAGGTCTCTAACCTTTTAGGAACCAAGGACCAGTTTCATGGAAGACAAATTTTCCATGGACCTGGTGCGGAGGAGGGGGAGATGGTTCCAGAATGATTCAGGTACATTACAGTTATTGTGCACTTTATTTCTGTTATTATTACATTGTAATATATAGTGAAATAATTATACAACTCACCGTAATGTAGAATCAGTGGGAGCCCTGAGCTTGTTTTCCTGCAGCTAGATGGTCCCCTCTGGGCGTGATGGGAGATAGATCATGAGGCATTAGATTCTCATAAGGAGCATGCAACCTAGACCCCTTGCATGTGCAGTTCACAATAGGGTTCTTGCTCCTATGAGAATCTAATGTCGCCGCTGATCAGAATGAAGGCAGAGCTCAGGCAGTAATGTGAGCAATGGGGAGTGGCTGTAAATACAGATGAAGATTCGCTGGATCTCCCACTGCTCACCTCCTGCTGTATAGTCATTCCTAACAGGCCATTGACCGGAACCAGTCCATGGCCCGGAAGCTGGGGACCCCTGTTGAAGAGTCCTCTTCTAAGCGCCAGTTTAAAGTTGCAAACTTGGTGGTAAAAATTAAAAGTTTGGGACAGTTAATAAAATTCTTTTTCTAAATCTTTCCTGAAGAAAAATTTTCCCATACTCAGCCACTCCACACAGTCAGGGAATTAACTTCTGACAGTAACCCTGAGCAATGATAGATTACAGAAGAAAAAAGCACGTGATTATCTCAATTGATATAGAAGTATTTAGTATTGCTCAACAGTACTAATGAAAAAATTCTTAACAAACTGGGAGAAGAACTGAACTCCCTTAATTTGATCATGCTTTATGCCTAAACACTTGCAGCCAATCTTATTCCTGATGAAGAAACTTTGGAAACATTTTTTGCTAAGATAATAAGACAAGAGTGCTAATTTTTACTGGTTCTCCTGAAGATGTTGTCAGAGGCTCTGGTCAAAAGTACAAAGAAAGAAAACAAACAAAGAGTATGAGAATGAAAGAGGAATAGATAAAACCATCATCACTGAATGATTATCTACCTAGAAAACTTGGCTCCACAAAGTATTAGAGTTAAAAAGATTGGCCATTCGATTTCTGATTACTTGATTAACCTTCAAAAACCAATAGCATTTCTCTATCTGTTATTCAGCAACAAGAACAAAAAAATGTTTTTTTAAAAGCAGTAGTCCATTCACAGGAGCAATGCATTCATAAGTATTATAAAATTAGCTTAACCAATAATATACAATGTTTGTGTTGTGAAACGTCAAAATTATGGTGAAGGAAACAGAAGAGGATATAAATAAATGGAGAGATGTTCTACTTTTGGCTGAGATGATGTAATGTTATAAAGATGTCTTTTATCACCAAACTATATATAAATTCAATGCAATTCCAATCAAAATTTCAGATCTTTTTTAAGAAACTCATTAACTTACTTTAAAATTACATAGAGAAATAAAAGTCCAACATTTAAGTCAATCTCACAATGAAGAATCAGGGGATTTGCCTCAACAGATATTAAGACATATTTCAAGATCACAGGAATGTGGCATTTGCTGCAGAATGGACATCTGGATGAGGGAGACAGATAAACAGCTCAGGAAGAGGAAATGCTATGAGAATTTAGTGCATGTGAATGACACATATCTATGGACAATGGACAAATTCATCAGATGATCTTGGGAAAACTGGCTCACTATCTAAAGCAAAGTTACATTGGGTGCCTATACCAAACCACATTTGAGAGTGGACTGTATTTAGATTAAAAACCAAATGGGACAGGTAAAATTATAAAGTTAATAGAAGAAAATGTAGCATGATAATTTTGTGATTTGGGTTGGAAAAATGCTTCTGGAACAAAACTCTAAGAGCACACGTTGTATGGCAAAATTGATCAATTTGAATACATTAAAATTCAAGATTGGTATTCAAGGAAGGGCACGATGGACAAAGTTATTAGATAAAAATTACAACGTCAAAAACTGACAAGGAATACACCTGTGTAATATACAAGGGATTCTTACAGACCTTCTAGGAAAATGTATCAATAAACAACAAAATGGCAAAATATCGACAAGGACATGATAACGAGAAAACTCAAAAAGCTAAAAACATATGATGATTATTCAAATTCATCAATTTGCATCAGGAAAATGCAAATCCAAACAACTATAAGAAATCACTCTACAACTGAAGATGAGCATAAACGAAAAGCCGAAAATGTGTGGTCACAGGCCCTCTGATGTCCTGGAGAGAGGACAGAGTACACCAGCCATTTTGAATGATCTGGCATTACTGACAAATTACATAATAGCACACCACCTGAGGCAGAAAAATTCTGTTCCTGGGTGGAGATCACAAAGAGATACAGTACAGATGTATAAGGAAGCATGCATAAAGATATTCATTATGGCAGTATTTTTGGGGGCAGGCTGCCGGAAGCACCCGTGTGTGTGTGTGTGTGTGTGTGTGTGTGTGTGTGTGTTTCCTGACATATCATGCATCAATGAAGGGGGACAAAAAGAAAAAGAATTACAAGAATATTTACTAATATGAATGAATCTTCCAAATAAACATGGATGCTAGTGAGAAATGAGAAACCAAATGAGATGTATATGAATATACATCATGATACCATTCATATAGAGTCGGCCCTCCTTATCCACAGATTCCACATCTGTGGATTCAAATAACTGCAGATTGAAAATATTCAGTAAAAAAAGGTGACTGCATTGAACATATTCAGATTTTTTTTTCTTGTCATTATTCTGTAAACAGTAAAATATAACAACCATTTACATACCATTTACATTGTGTTAGGCATTATAAGGAATCTAGAGATGATTTAAAGCAGGGGAGTCTAATCTTTTGGATTCCCTGGGTCACACTGGAAGAACTGTCTTGTGCCTTGCATAAAATATACTAATGATAGCAGATGAGCCAAACAAATTAAAAATCGCAAAAAATCTCATAATTTTTTTTTTTTTTTTTTTTTTTTTTGAGGTGGAGTCTCGCTCTGTCGCCCAGGCTGGAGTGCAGTGGAGCAATCTCGGCTCACTGCAACCACCACATCCCAGGTTCAAGTGATTCTCCTGCCTCAGCCTCCTGTGTAGCTGGGATTACAGGCACATGCCACCATGCCCAGCTAATTTTTGTATTTTTAATAGGGAAGGGTTTCACTATGTTGGTCAGTCTGGTCTCGAACTCCTGACCTTGTGATCCGCCCGCCTCGGCCTCCCAAAGTGCTGAAATTATAGGCGCGAGCCACCGCGCCAGGCCCAAAAATCTCATAATGTTTTAAGAAAGTTTACAAATTTGTGCTGGGTCTCATTAAAAGCTGTCCTGGGCTGCATTCAGACTGTGAGCTGCGAGTTGAACAAGCTTGGTTTAAAGTACATAGGAGGCTGTGTGTAGGTTGTATGCAAATATCTCACCATTTTATATCAAGGACTTGAGAATCCTCAGATTTTGGTATGTGCAGGGGGTCCTGGAACCAATCCTCTGAGGATACTGAGGGACAACTGTATTAAAAATGTATTCAGAGAATTCACTTTCCGACATATTCTGATTAGGTCATTTCAGGCCCAACATTTCCACTAAGAAAAAGTTTAAAAGTTGAAAAACATACAGACAACATTTGTATGAAGAAGGATCTAGAAGATGAATAAAGCCAAGAGAGGTGAGCCCTGCATTTGTGTTGCATTTGTCCTTTTCCGAAAGGAAAGACCGAAGGCCCTTCTTTTCAGTGTCCCTGCTGTGTGGGGGTACCAAAACTGGGTTCTGGGCCCAGTCATGGGAAGGGGCCCTTGTGAACACACCAGGCTCTCAAATGGGACCCTGAAGACTGCTCCCTAGCAAGAAAAGTGAAGAGACAATAGGTTAGCTCACAAAAGGACTGCTATCCAGCATTCAGCCATCTGAACACCTTGACCCGTTGATCTGATATGCTGCTTTCCAGAAGCAAATAAATAAATACATCTCGTTGTTAGGAGATAACATTATTAAAAGCTTAAGGATACCATTTGGCTTTCCCTTAGTGCAGGTCTACCTATGATCTTTTCTGTCAGATTTTGTTAATCTGGAAGACAAATCTTATTTGTCTTTTCACTTTTAAGAGATATTTATTCTATTTCAAGAGGCTCCACTTCCACATGGACCTTTATACTTATCCCTTCTGTCTCTTAAACTTTTTTTCATATTTTTGACCCTTTAACATCTACAAGCTTAGTCTGGATATTTTCTTCTGATCTGTCTTCCAATTTGCTCATTCTCTCTTCACAGTATCTAATCTGCCCTTCAGCTATGTGTACAGAATTCTAGTTGGCAGTTATTCAGACTTTCAAGGTGTTCCATTGTCTTCTGGCTTTTTTGGACACGTTAGAAGCAGTCTTGTTTTCTGTTGAGAAGTTAGCAGTCTTATTTTTGCTTATTTGAAGAAAGTTTGTCTTAATATCTGGCTGCCTTCATTCTTAAGGCAGAAGTAATGCTCTCATACAGAATTCATAAATGCAGGAGGGAATGTAGGGCAATAAAAAGGGTGAATAGGTGGGTAAATACAAAAGAATATTGACTACATAAGAAAAAATAATGTCTTGTGGTTTTGAAATAGGTATAGAATAAAATATAAGACAACAGTAGGACGTAGTGGTGAAAGTAGGAAATAAAGTTGGAGTATTCCATGGTCCTTACATTGTTTCAGAAGCATTAAAAATATTCATTTATATTAGACACTAAAAAGTTAAGGATGTGTGTAGAAATCTCTAGGGTAACTTTGCAGTACAAGAGTATGTAAGTCACAAACTAATAGACGAGAGAAAGAAAATTTTAAAAATACTTAAATAATCAAAAAAAGGAAAGAAAAAGGATCATGGAACATGTGGAACAAATAGAAATCCAATAGTAAGAGGTAGAGTTAAAATAAAACATATTAGTAATTTACTGCCTGTAGTCAAACTAAAAACTACAATTAAAAAATTAGATAGTACAAAGATGTTGAAGAGAAAGGGAGGGGTGAATAGGCAGAGCATGCAGGATTTTTAAGGCAGTGAAACTATTCTGTATGATACTGTAATAGGGGATACATGTCATTATGCGTTTGTCAAAACTCATGGAATTTACCAAACAAAGAGTGAGCTCTATTGTAGCCTATAGACGTTAGTTAATAATAATGTATTTATATTAGCTCATCAATTATAACAAATACACTACACTAATGCAAGTTAACGAGAAAGGATGGGGGCACTGAGGGGGTACAGAAGAACTCTATGTACTTCCCACTCAATTCTTCCATAAACCTAAAACTTCCCCAAAGAATAAATTCTACTGATATTTTTTAAAGGCAGTACTGTCAAACAGGATAAAATAGCAAATCCAAACTATATGTTTCTCACAGGAAACACATTTAATTAAAAAAAAATAGAGAAATATTTAAATTAAAAGGATGGGAAAAGATACACCATCCAAGCACCAATCAAAAGTAAGCTGGTGCAAGTGCAGTGGTTCATGCCTATAATCCCAACACTTTGGGAGGCTAAAGCAGGAGGATTGCTTGAGGCCAGGAGTTTGAGATCAGCCTGGGCAACATAGTGAGACTCTGTCTCTACAAAAAATATTTTCAAAACATTAGTTGGATGTGGTGGCACACACCTGTAATGCCAGCCACTTAGGAGGCTGAGGTGCCACTGCATTCTAGCCTTGAACACAGAGTAAGACTCTGTCTCTCAAAATAAATAAATAAATAAGTAAATAAATAAGCAAGCTGGCATAGTTACTCTAATGTCAGACAAAATAAACCATAATACAAGAAGCATTACTTGAGAAATGTGGGGATATTTCATAATGAGGAAAGTGTGGTCCATTAGGAAGATGTAAGAATTCTAAATTTGCATTACTAAATAGCATAGATTCCAAATATTAAAAGAAAAAATTGACAGACTAAAAGGAGATGTACACAATCAGATTGGAACACTAAAACACGTTGCTTGGTACCTAATAGAACAATCAGACACATCCTTCTTTAATCTATAGATATTGATTTGAACAGTATTCCTAACAAATTGTATCTAATTCCTCCTAGCAACTGTAGAATATATATTCTTTTTGAGTTCATGTAGAACATTTTCTAAAATTGACAATTAGCTGGTCCAAGTTCAAATTTTTAAATGAATTAACTCATATAATACATGAATTAATGAATTTTCTGTCCACAGTGAATTTAGTCTAGAAAACAGTTATGAAAATAAAACTAAGTTATTCTAATTTTGTTAAATAAGCCATAGAATTCTAAATAACCCACCAGTTAAAAAAAAAAGAAATTAAAATTGAAATCAGAAAATATTTTAAATTGAATGGTGATGAAAACACTACCGATGAAACTTACGGGATACAACTGAAGATGTGCTTAGCACGAAATTAATAGCCTTAATTGCGTGTATTGGAAAATAAGGTTTCATATGAGGACACAAAGGCAGAAGAATGATATAATGGACTTTGGGGACCCAGGGGAAAGGGACAGGAGAAGGGTGAGAGATAAAAGACTACGTATCGGGAACAGTGTACACTGCTTGGGTGATGGGTGTACCAAAATCTCAGACATCACTACTAAAGAACTTATCCATGCAACCAAAAACCACTTGTACCCTCAAAACTATTGAAATTTTCAGAAAACTTCAAAAACAAAAGTAAGGGTTAAAATCAGTGCTGACAACACACCTGGAAAAGTTTTAAGGAGAACAAACTAAGTCCCAAGAAAGTAGAAAGAAGGAAGTAATTTTAAAAAGTGTAAACAGCCAAATACAAAATTAAATGGGCAATAGAGAATTGATAAAGCCAAAGTTAGTTTACTGATAAAACTGATAAACCTTGACCTATGCTGTTTCAGAAGAGAGAGAGAGGGGAGAGAAGAAGGGAGAAAGGGCACAAACACACATGCACACACACATGCGCACACACGCACACGTCATGAAGTGGAGGACATCACTACAGGTTCTTCAGACATTTAAAATATCTTTAAAGAATATTGTAAAATAACTTTATGCCAATACATTTAAAAATTTAGAAAAAAAATGAAAAACTTCCAGGGGGAAAAAAACTTAAAACCAACCAAATCCATACAAGGTAGAAAAATATAAACTTTCTATTTACCTGAAAAATTTAATCCATAATTTTAAAATTATCTACAAAGAAAACTGTATTCCCACGTGGGTTCACCAGTGAATTCTTCCAAATTATTTAAGGAAGAAATAGTACTGTTCGTCTACAAATTCTTCCAGAAAACAGAAAAAGGGAAACACTTTTTAATTCATAGACAAATCCAGTATAACTTTGATACCAAAATCTGACAAGGGCATAACAAAGAAGGAATATTACAGATCAATCTCACTCAAGTATATAGATGTACAAATGTTTTAAAAAATGTGTTCAGATCAAATCTAGTAGTTTTCAGAAGGATAACGTATCATGGCCCAGTCGTGTTTATTCCAGGAATGTATTTAAAAATCTAGCAGAGGCCAGGCATGGTGGCTTACGCCTGTAATCCCAGCACTTCGAAAAGCCTCACTGTTCAGCCCCCATTTATAAGTGAGAACATGCAGTGTTTAGTTTTCTGTTCCTGTGTAAGTTGCTGAGGAACATGGATGGCTTCCAGCTCCATCCATGTCTCTGCAAAGGACATGATCCTGTTCCTTTCTATGGCTGCATAGTACTCCATGGTGTATATGTACCGTATTTCTTTATCCAGTCTATCATTGATAGTCATTTGGATTGATTTCATGTCTTTGCTATTGTGAATAGTGCTGCAGTGAACATATGGAAGCATGTATCTTTGTAATAGAATGATTTATATTCCTTTGGGTATATATCCAGTGATGGGATTGCTGGGTCAAATGGTATTTCTGGTTCTAGATCTTTGAGGAATCACCACACTGTCTTCCACAATGGTTGAACTAATTTACTAATTTGCATTCCTACCAACTGTGTAAAAGCGTTACTATTTCTCCACAGCCTCACCAGCATCTGTTGTTTCTTGACTTTTTAGTAATTGCCATTCTGACTGGCGTGAGATGGTATCTTTTTGTGGTTTTGATTTGCATTTCTGTAATGATCAGTGATGCTGAGCTTTTTTCATATGTTTCTTGGCCACATAAATGTCTTCTTTTGAGAAGTGTCCAGTCATGTCCTTTGCCCACTTTTTAAAGGGGTTGTTTTTTGTTTGTATACAACAAGGAAAACTAACCTACATGCATCAAGATGCATGACTCTCAGAAATACATTGTTGACAAAAGAAGCCAGCCACCAAATAATGTGTATTGTATTATTTCAGTTACATGAAATGTCAAAACAGGCAAACTGACCTTTTGATACTGAAGATCAGGATTGCAGTTACATTTGGGAACAAAGCAGGACAGAGCAATTGGGGGGATCCACGAGGGGGCTGCTGGGGTGGGTAATGTTCTACTTCTCAACCTGGTGCTTATCACTCCATAAAAATTTATTAAACTACACTTAAGATTTTTATAACAACAGACTGGAGCAAGATACTTGCATTCCACATGTAGACGATGGAGTAGTATCTAGAATATACATTTAAAATAACCCTAAAAAATCAATTTGAAAAAATATCAACAACTAAAGTGCAAAAAGAAAAAAGAAACAGACATTTCAGGAGAGAAAATGCAATAAAATAAAAGAATATAAAAATGTGAAGCGATGTGCAACTTTAAAAATGCACGCGAAACAAAACGGGACATTTTTTCAGAAATGCATATGAACAAGAAAAGAAATGTTAAATTCATTTAAATCATTACCTATTAAAGGAGAGGAATGGGGAATTTGAAATGGGGATAAAAGTATAGTAAAACAGGCACTTTTCATGAATTCCTAACAAAAATGGGTCATGACCAGAGAAGTGTTATTAACTCAGTGCTCCTTCTTTGAAGTTAAAAAGAAATGAAATGATAAACCAAAGACTCACCTTATCTGCACAGTCTGAGCATCTAGCTGTAACAGATTCTTCAAACGTCAATAACTCAGTTTTCACATCTACCACGTCTCATGCTCATGAACTTTTGTTCTGCCCTCTCGATTCCCAAAAAGTTACATCTTACTTTAGTGAGTGCAATTCTTCATTTATTTCCAATTCTCCTCTTCCTAAAAACGACATGACATGATTTACAAACTACTCATGATACAAAAGATAAGAAAAAGTACTTGAGGAAGTTAGAGTGATTGTAAAATATGTACAGGAAGAGAATACAGATTGCCCCAAAATACCACATAGTGAGTTGATGAAGTTGGTCACTAATTTGACTCTGAGGTTTGGGCAAAGAAAAGAGGAAAAGCTGTCACTTCACCCACAATAAAAATCTAACAGTTGTGACCGGGCTCAGTGGCTCATGACTGTAATTCCAGCACTTTGGGAGGCCAAGGAGAGTGGATCACCTGAGGTCAGGAGTTCAAGAGCAGCCTGACCAACATGGAGAAACCTACTAAAAATACAACATTAGCTGGGCATGTTGGTGCATGCCTGTAATCTCAGCTACTTGGGAAGCTGAGGCAGGAGAATTGTTTGAACCTGGGAGGCAGAGGTTGCAGTGAGCCGAGATCACGCCATTGCACTCCAGCCCGGGCAAAAAGAGCGAAAAAAAACAAAAAACAAAAAAAACCTAACAGTTATTCAAGGCCAGTCCAACCATGCTTTTCAGTAGTTAAATCTAACTGTGAGAGGGAAATACGGAATTTTTAAAAATCACCACTTGGAACTACATATTGTTGAATCTTCCTTTTCATTCCTTGATGGTATCTTGAATAGCATCCAAAACTTTCCAGTTGCTTTGAGTATAAAAACTCAATCCAGTTTAAAGCCTCATTTCCAGCATGATTTACATCTCCTCTTCTCCCTGGAGCAAATGTTTGAGCTCAGGCTCTGTTTGGATTGGAGGAGAGGATGACAGGCCTTCTCTCCTTTCTCAGAAGTGCTGCTGTGGGGAGGAGGAAGCGGCACTCTCCACCCAGCTGCTGGGCTGGCGTCCCGTGGATGACTGTCTCTGCAGCTCTACCTGTCACCATAACTGTCAGGACCTTCCATAAACCTAAACGTTTATCTGAGACAGGTCTCCATCAATTTAGAAAGTTTATTTTGCCAAGGTAAAGGACGTGCCCAGGGCACAGCCTCAGGAAGTCCTTCCTGATGACATGTGCCCAAGGCGATCGGGGCACAGCTTGATTTTATACATTTTAGGGAGACATGAGACATCAATCGATATATGTAAGATGTACATTGGTTTGGTCTGGAAAGGCAGGACTACTTAAAGCGGGGAATGGGCTTCCAGGTCATAGGTAGATAAGAGACAAATGGGACAAATGGTTGCATTCTTTTGAGGTTCTGATTAGCCTCTCACTGAATACCCAATTTTTTTCTTTTTTCTTTTTCTATTTATTTATTTAGAGACAGAGAGTTGCTCTGTCACCAGGCTGGAGTACAGTGGCACGATCTTGGCTTACTGCAACCTCCACCTCCTGGGTTCAAGTGATTCTCCTGCCTCAACCTCAAGTAGCTGGGGCTATAGGTGCACACCATCACGCCCGGCTAATTTTTTGTATTTTAGTAGAGACAGGGTTTCACCATGTTGGCCAGGCTGATCTTGATCTCCTGACATTGTGATTCGCCTGCCTCAGCTTCCCAAAATGAATACCCAATTTATAGGAATAGTCACTTATGCTCCAGTCTGGCTTAGTCAAGCAACAGGGCCGAGGAAGCAATCCAGATACATCTTTGTCTCCCATGAGCAGAGGGACGACTTTGAGTTCCATCAGTCCTTTTTCCACAAGGAATTTCCTTGTGGGCAAATTGTGAGGGAGGTTGTAGCTTCTTGATCTTTGTAGCTACCTTCTTTAGGAACAGAATGGGAGACAGGTTTGCCTGAGGCAGCTCCCAGCTTGACTTTTCCCTTTGGTTTAGTGATTTGGGGATCCAGGCATTTATTTTTCTTTTACACTTCCTAGGGGCGGGAACGTGAGTCTCACTCTCTTAGGGTTCCAAGGCTTCCCTGCACATCAACTCCCCTTGCAGGAGAGCTGTCCCCATTCAGCACCTTCCACACTCCCTGCTATCTCCCCACAGCCCCTGCTGGGCTCCCCTCAGCCCATAGGCTGTCCCATGGGTGGGCAAGAGCACTGAGGTGCGGTAAACATTTAACAATCAGTCTCCCAAAACAGTATGCATATATACACACATGCATATAGTTATTATAAACTTTACTAATACAAGAAATGTGTCACACAGTTTACAAATCATCAAATATATGATACTCTTTATTATAGAATTTATAACATAGAATTTAGAATTTATATTAGAATTCTATATATAATATAGAATTTAGAATATATATTATAGAATATATAATACAGAATTTATAATAAAGAGTATTAAATAAAAGTCAACTGATTGACAAGATGCTGCCTCAATTTCTGGTGAACTCTTGTATCCATAGCCAACCTAGGGTTCAATTTACAAACAAGTGTAGTTTTGAGACAAATGTTGGTTGGCTGGGCATGGTGGCTCACACCTGTAATCCCAGCAATTTGGGAGGCCAAGGCAGGTGGATCACTTGAGGCCAGGAGGTCAAGACCAGCCTGGCCAACCTGGTGAGATCCCATCTCTACTAAAAAAAATACAAACAAACAAAAAAAAATTAACCAGGCATGGTGGCAAGTGCCTGTAATCTCAGCTACTCAGGAGGCTAAGGCACGAGACTCACTTGAACCCAGGAGGTAGAGGTTGCAGTGAGCCGAGATCACACCACTGCACTCTAGCCTGGGTGACAGAGTGAGACTCTTATCTCAAAAAAAAAAAAGCAAAATGTTGGTTGATATTTTTCCTCATGTTAAAGCATCAGACAAAAAGAAAGCAATGAAGCTGTGTTCTGAAACCGAACTTGTTTGTCAATAGTCTGAGCACCCTTTCTGCTGAGTCAGATAATACTTTTAAACACTGCAAAAATATTTCCTCAATTGTTTGTGCTACTTATAATGACTATGGACACGCCACACTTTCTCATTTAATCTTCACTATTAGCATTAACTCTATTAATTTATTAAGTCTAGACCAGCAGTCCCCAACCTTTTTGGCACCAGGGACCAATTTCATGGAAGACAATTTTTCCACAGCCCGGCCGTGGGGAAATGGTTTCAGGATGAAACTGTTCCACCTCAGATCATTGGGCATTAGATTCTCATAAGAAGCACACAACCTAGATCCTTCGAAAATGCAGTTCACAATAGGATTCTTGCTCCTATGAGAATCTAATGCCGTTGCTGATCTGACAGAAGGCGGAGCTCAGGCAGTAATAAGAGCAATGGGGAGCTGCTATAAATACAGATGAAGCTTCGCTGACTCCCCCATCCACACAGACGGGTACCAGTCTGTGGCCCAGGGATTGGGGACCCCTGGTCTAAATAATCAACAAAACAGTAAAGTAAGCCCTGGTTTGTAGCATTTGACAATTGCCATGGTGTAAATGCTCCCACCATGGCCGGTATCAGGGTAGCAACCTGACAGCAGTAAATGTGTAGCTGAGAAGAGAAGCATGGTCACACACCATTATGTAGGATTGCTACCATGGGGCTAGGCAACATCCATCATTAGGCATCAATAATAATAAAATGTGGTGAAATAATTAGAAAATGAGTTTTGTGCATTTATCACCTCTGCTTTTAATATAATTTGTTTTATTGTAAATTTACATAATTTAATTTTTAATTCTGGCTATACTTAACAACTGGCTCACAATATTCCTGAAATTTTCACAGTTGACTCTCATGAGCTGATGCAAACCAGATCCAGTACCACTGGATGAAGGGCCTGAATGAGATGCACACCGGTGTGCAGCCCTTCCTATGCCCCTTCTCCAGGCCCTGGTCCTGTCCACAGCCCTGCTACCAACAGGGCCTGAGGGCATACTGAGGCCTTGCAATGCTCCATCCAGAACTGATTGGATCGGGTAGAATACACATGATCTAAGAGGACTCGTCCATAGACAGACTGAATCAGAGTCTCTGTTCCTCTGGATTAGAATGAAGATGCAGAGAAAGTGGCCAGCAGGTAGCAGAAGAGCAAAGAGACACCTGGAATGAAACTGAGTTTGTCGATGATGAAATGCCAGCCCTAGAAAGAAGTGTCACAGATGATCTTTGCTGAGGTCTAAAACAGCAAAGATCACCACAGCTTAGAGTAAATAGCCATACCATTCATTTCGACTAACCTGATATTGCCTGTACACAATTGTGGACAAGAGCAAGATGCTTCCACCCTCCTTGAGGATTGCCCATGGCATGGTCCTGATGGAAACGATGGTCAGTTTGATTGACATATGGGTCCTATGTCTTATTCTAAGGATCATACACAGAGAGTGATTGTACACACTTAGCAGCGACTGAAATACATGCAGCTCAAGGATAGGGTCAGTGAGGAGTCAACGAGACCATGTCCCCGCAAAGAGCCTTCAATGAAACGCTAGTGAAATATCAGGAAAAGCAGGCCCACAAAGATTCATTCAATTGCTGAAAATGTGATCCAGGTTAATTTCAGGTAGCCCACATGTTTCTTTTGTTCTGTAGCAGAAAGTGTACATCATGCCAATTCCAGCCCTGATGGAGAGAGGATATTTGACCGTGGTGTCATTTGACTGAATGAATAAATCTAGAGTTAGTTTTGTGCAAACCAAAAAGAGGTGAACGTCTTTGTGTATTTGCTTCCTGAAACTGCTTTCTTTGTACTAATTTAACTAAAGGGAACTATACAATCCCAGGTTAGAGAAATTATCTGAATAGAAAGTAAATAGAGGTCGGTGTTGACTTTTATAAGATACATATCCATTTCCTTCTCTGTAAAATGAAGATACCTCCCAGGGATGTTGTCAAACTCATATAAGATCCTGGGTCCATTCATTCATTCATTCAGTCATTTACTCATTCAATATACTGATGTGACAAAAAGCCGTTTTAAGGTGTTGGGATCCTTTCAAGGATATGAAAACATTCTGTAAACTATAAAGCACGACGCCTATACAAGTCACTGTTCCTTCTCATTGCTTTACATGCAGGCAGTTTATAAAGAGCATGATTAGAGAATAAAAGGCAGCTTAGAAGAT